ATCTCTCTCTCCACTGATTAAGTTCTTTTTCTTGTAGATTAAACTTCTACATGTACCAAATTTGGTTTCTGGACTTTTCTTTTGTGTTGGTCTGTTTTTGTTCCAAAACCACATTTATGATTTTGAAGCTCTTTTATAAAAATTATCATCATACTAATTTTTTAATTGTTTTCTAGCAGTTCATCCTATACCACTAATTTTACTGATTATTTATATCACCGTTAAGTAATTATAATACATTTAGAATTTTTAATATGAAAATTTAAATAATGTTATCTTTTATAATAGTGAGGTATATCTACAGTTTAAAATAAGCTGGTTAAAAAATAGGAAAAGCAATCTATTGGAAAATAGAAAAATGAGCAAAAAATATAAACGAGGATCTCAAGGAAGATAAATCCTGTTGACCAATACACCCGTAAAGGGATGTTCATCAAGGAAAGGGTAGTTCCAGGACTGTGATCGCTGCATTCCCACCAAGGGGACAGAACCATAGACCTTTGACAGCCCCAGCTAGCCAGTGCCTCCCCTTGAAGAACCATGTGGCAGCGTGTCATGTTGGTGAAGATGAGTTTTCCCATTGGTCCAGTAACTCTCCTATTCTAGAAACACAATTGCACATGGACGGGGGGACAGACAAGAGAGTTCATTGAACTGTTGCTTGTAATAGCAAAGTATAGCCAGTCCCAATTTACAATGGCTCAACTTTACCATGGTAGGAAAGTGATAGGCATTTAGTAGAAACTGTACCTTGGATTTTGAATTTGGATATTTTCCTGGCTGGCCATATGGAGAAGGATACCCTCTCATGGTACTGGGAAAGGCAGTGAGTGCAGCTCCTGTCAGCCACATGATCACTAGAATCAGCAACCCATACTGTAGAGCAGCAGCGGTTCTCAACCTATGGGTCGTGACCCCTTTAGGGGTAGAATGACCCTTTCACAGGGGTCGCCTAAGACCATCAGAAAACACATATTTCCGATGGCGATTCATAACAATAGCAAAATTACAGTTATGAAGTAGCAACGAAAATAATTTTATGGTTGGGGATCACCACAACATGAGGAACTGTATTAAAGGGTCACGCACGGCATTAGGAAGGCTGAGAACCACTGCTCTAGAGTGTGGTATTGCATGCATTTTCCACTTAGGATATTTTCCAATTATGATGAGTTTATCAGGATGTAATCCCATCTCGGTCAAGGAGCATCTGTACTGAGAAAAACCTAAACATTATTGACAAAAGAATGGGTGAAATCACTGCACTCTGAAATTCTACACATCAGTTTAAGTCAATGAATTAGACCTATGTATATACACGTAAGTCTTAAACAGAGTGGGAGTGGGAGGTAAGTTCAACATTTAAAACCATACAGAACAGTACTGTTAAATCATTTCAAGCTATATTCAGATGTAGTTAGAGTTTAAAGACATGCACTGAATGTGAACACCAAACTCAGATGGCAGCTTCCCTCTAGGGAGGTCTGGAGGTGGGACTAGGGGCAAGGGAAGCTTAGAGTTCAGCTACGAGTGGTCTGTGACCCACTGACCATGCCCTTTCAAAGAAAACCTGAAGCAAAGACTGTAACCTGTTAATAGTTTTTGTATCTTAGAGGTGGTTGTATGGGTATTTTGTTTTCATTTTAATGAAACTTAAATAATTCATACAGGATAAAGTCTTCAGGCACTGGCATAAGAAGAAACCTGACATGTGATTCTACCAAACAGTGTCTTACACATTCTTTTATGCTCACTTTTGCATCCATCTCTGATCATTTCCTTAGAAAAATATCCTGGAAATGGAATTACTGAGTCACAGGATATACTTCTGTTATTTTCTCCAAAATTGTCCAGAAATTTCCCCAAGGACCTTGGGAAGCATTCTACTTAATCTCATCTTTTTCTGGATGGGCTTGGGCAAAACAAAACAAATACTTGTAAGCCCATGACTATTGTCACATAAACATAAGACTGTTGAATTTCACTTGTATAACTGATGATTGACATTTAAAGACACAGTTTACATTTAGCAATATTTCTAAGACACGTTAGAAAGCTTTGACCCAGCAATTTCCAATCTTCTTGTCATAGTCACCTGTGGAAGTCTTCATACTTCATTCCTTTGAAAAAATAATACTATTTCATTGTTCAAAGACACTAAATGAGCCCTGACTGGTTTGGCTCAGCAGTTAAAGCGTTGGCCCTTGGACTGAAGGGTCTCTGGTTCAATTCTCCATCAAGGGCACGTACGTGGGTTGCAGGTTCAATCCCTGGCCCTGGTCAGGGTTGTGCAGGAGGCAACCAACTGATGTATCTCTTTCATAGTGATGTTTCTCTCTCTCTCTCTGTCTCTCTCCCTCCCTCCCTCTCTCCCCCTTTCTCCCTCCCTTCCCTCTATCTAAAAGTGAATGGGGAAACAATCCTCCGGTGAGAATTTAAAAAAGACACGAAATGATACTATTAAACCCATCTTAAATTTTTTCTGATGTTATAGTGCAGTTTCTAGACCATGGCTTTATTGACATTTTGGCTGACAGTTGTCACCTGGGGCTGTCCTGGCCACTGTGGGGTGTTGATCAGCGTCCCTGGCCTCCATCCTCTTGATGTGTGTAGTATGCACCCCAGTGGTGACAAATGTCTCCAGGCATTGCCACATATAGTCTCGATGCAAAATCTGTATGCCTCGGTTGAGAGTCACACAGTGCCATAGGAAATTGTACTGATGTAGGAGAATAACAACTTTTTACTTAGAAGATACACACAGATATTTTGAGTAACGTCTTTAAGTCCCTAGTGATCCAGGGGATGAGTAAACATGCCCAACCATCATATATGAGTGACAGGGAAAATGTTACAAATAGGCAAGACATTAACTTAGTAAATCTAGTTGAAGGGCTGTGTGCCCTTTATGTTCATTGTTCTACTCTCTGCTTTGTCTAAGTTATGTGAAAAAAACTGTACATGCCCTGGCCAGTTTTGCTCAGTGGTTAGAGCATTGGCCCACGGGCCAGAGAGTCCCGGGTTCGGTTCCCACAAAGGGCACATACCTCGGTTGCAATTTGTCCACGGCCCCTGTTGGGGTTGTGTGGGTGGCAACCAGTCGATGTGTCTGTCTCACATCAATGTTTCTCTCTCTCTCTCTTCTTCCCTCTCTCCCTCCCGCTCTATCTGAAAATAAATGCAAAAATGTCCTCGGGTGAGGATTAAAAAAAAAAAAACTGTACATAAGTGAGGAAAAGTCCAAAGGATATTTTTTGAAAACTGTCCTTTCCCAGCCTTGCCTCCCACCCCCCACCCACATACACACACCCCTGATCTCAGCCCCAGAGCAGCCATCTGAGTAACTGGTTATCATCTAGAAACACAATTTTCAACCTCTTCATCTCATGGCACATATAAACTAGTTACTAAAATTCTGTGGCACACCAAAAAATATATTTTTTGCTGATCTGACCAAGAAATAGGTATAATTTTGATCCATTCACATTGGACAGCTATTGTTATGCCTTGTTAAGGTAATATCCACTGAATGTACATGCAGACAGTTCTTCCAACCACATATATATGGTTGTAACACTCATACTGACATGCTTAGTACAGATATGCTGTATTTTTCTTTTTCTTTTTTTATCCTCACCCAAGGACATTTTTGCATTTATCTTCAGATAGAGTGGGAGAGAGAGAGGGAGGAAGAGAGAGAGAAACATCGATGTGAGAGAGACACATTGACTAGCTGCCACCCACACAACCCCAACCAGGGCAGAGGACAAACTGCAACCGAGGTACATGCCTTTAGCGGAACCAAACTCGGGTCTCTGGTCCACGGGCCAAAGTTCTAAGTGCTAAACCAAACTGGCCAGAGCATGCTGTGTTTTTCTGTTCTGAAATTAGATAGTATGAATAGAAATGTCAGCTAGATCAGAAGTTCCCTATCATTCACATTTTTCTTCTCCCAAATATTCTTTCAAATAATCAAGGTTCCAGATTATTTCAAATAAAGTGAATAGTTTTTCAATGGCATTATTGTCATCATTAATCCAGTCATATTAATATTTACAGGAAGTTTGGAGACCCAAATAACTTCATATTTCAACAGGCAAAATCTATTACCATTTTGTAAAGGACTTCTTCATTTTTATGATATTCTAATATTATATGGTTATGGCACCATTTTTAAAATTAAAATTAATTTGACATATTCCCATGGTTCGTGATTCAAGTTTAAGAGAAGTCTCCCAGCCACGCCTAACCCCAGGTCCCACTGCAAAGCTGCTGGCAATCCAGACTTTTAACATTCTGTGCATTGAGCAGTCTAGATCACTTTGTGTACAGCTGTTTTGCATGTAATGTATCATGATATCTTTAAGCCTCAGTTACCCATGGGATGAGTAAACATGCCCAACTGTCATATATGAGTGACAGAAAATGTGACACTGTGGAGGGCTTCCTCCTTTGCTGAGAGAAGGACCTCGTTCCTAATGGGAGTGTGCTTGAACCTGGCAGAATGTCCTGGGGTTAATCAATGCTGTGGTGATGGGCAGAGAGCTTGTCTTCAGTCTTTATGATCAATATGTATTGATAGTATAATGTTATCTATGATCATCAATGCTGTCATGAATAAGCTGGTATGGACTTATCCCTGCATGTGTACAAGATAAACTCTAGAAATGGCGAGTCGCGTGACAAGCTGAGCCTGGTGGTGTCAGCGGTCCCCATTGGCCACCTGGGACTGTGTGCATGTACCCTGTCTGCACTGAGCAGTAGGGCCTGGTTCTGCACACCCTTGGCCCCCAGAGAGTTATCATGGTTTGTGTTCAGCCAAACCAGATAGAAACGAGGTGCATCCCAGGTGAGAACCGGGGAGCAGTTTTCTGCTCTCTCCCTTCTGCATACACACATTGCAGGGGCTTGCCCTCAGCTCCAGCTCACTCCCTTGTTTGCTGCATCCCTTCCCTAGCTTGTCTAGACCCTGAGGTGCCCCTCTTGTTCCGTGGTTTCAGAAACGGGTTTCTCCTTTCGAGGACATGATCTTCTGTTTCTCGGAAGAGGACTGGTCTCTTCTAGACCCTGCCCAGACTGGCTTCTACGGAGAGTTCATCATCGGAGAGGACTGCGGGGTCTCACTGCCTTCAAGTAAGACTTCCTTCCACCCTCTCCTGAGACCAAGGAACTGGGGGTCCACATCTAATCTTGCTGACCACCCTCCAACCCTGACAGGAAGGAGGTCACCTGCACACAGTGACACTGAAGTCACTTAGTAAAGAGACCCTCACCTGCCACTATCATGTGAATTAGGCTTATTGGCTTTTTTTTTACATGAAACCAAATATAACAGGTTCCTGTTCATTTGCTTTTCTTTTGTCATTCTGATCCTATGGCCTCTAAAGTTCTGGCTTTCTAATCCATGGTCCTGACTGCTTCCCCAAGTCCACAACTTCCCCACTAGTGTGCCCCTCCCTTGCCTTCACTTCTTGTTCTAGCCTTTCAGCTTCTCTGTAGCCTTGCATGGCCTGTCACTGCCACGGCCTGTCCTGCATGCCTTCAGCTCACTGAGGAATGTGTGTCCACCCCTTTTCTGTGAACAGATGACCCAGCAGCTCAGCTGGACCTCTCCCAGGGTGAGGAGAACGAGCCATGTGTTCCAGAGCTGCAGGACCTCCAGGGGAAGGATGCTAGTCAGGTTTCCTACTTGGGTGAGTCATGATTCCACCACTGGACAGAGTAGGGTGGTAGGTGGTGTCTGCTGGAGGTGGGCTACTCTCTTCAGTCCTCTGTAACTCCAGACTCTATCTTAGTAGAACATATCTTGCCTCCTCCCCAGCTCCTTGAAGAAAGAATGTAGGTGTTTATTTGGTTGGGTGTGGGCATCATACTCCCTTCAACCAAGGATTAGGACACAATGGGAATATCTTTCTTCTCTGTTATAAATAGCACCTGCTTTCTGCTTGCAAGCCAGTGGCTTCTCTACAAGGGAGGTCACATTCTCCATAGGTCAGGTAGAGAAGGGATACCAGACACAGGACCTCCAGGTATCTCACTCCAGTCCTTCCACCACATACTGCGGGTGTGAGGAAACTGAGGCACAGGGTGTTGGGGCTTAGCTGACAAGCACAACTCAGCCCTGGCAAGTTTGGCTTAGTGGTTAGAGTGTCGGCCCACAGACTAATGAGACCCAAGTTCAATTCCGGCTAAGGGCACATACCTTGGTTGTAGTTTGTCCCCGGCCCTGGTTGGGGTTGCGTGGGAGGCAGCCAGTCGATGTGTCTCTTTTGCATCAATGTTTCTCTCTCTCTGTCTTTCTCTCTTTCTCTCTCCCTCCCTCCTACTCTGTCTAAAGATAAATGGAAAAATATCCTCGGGTGAGGATTTAAAAAAAAAAGCACAGCTCAGCAGCAGCATTTCCTTGTCCCCCTACCTGGACTTTCTGTGTATGTTTTTAACCACGTGCTGCTTCAGGGAAAAAAGCTGTATGTGGTATCAACAGCAGCCCCACAAACCTTCCGCTTCAGAACCTAGAGCTGGCCTAGTGCAGTCAGGTGTGGCTTCCCATCCTCACCTGGAACGAGCATGCAGGGCATCAGGGGTGGCCAACTCCCTGTCCCATCTGCCTGGCAGACTCTGTGCAGGCTGTGTTCATGCAGTGTCTGTGAGGGATGCTGGGACCTGTGGAAATTCCACCACAGAGATGGAAATAACCATAGGGACGGCAGTCACTTATTCACAGGCAAGCAGATGAGGCAGATCCTGGACCCATGCTGATTCCATCTAGCTTCAGAACCTTTCTGCCTACAAATTGATTTGTTTTACAAACACTGAGTGGCTGCCCAAGAAAGGAGCCTAGGGCTGCCCTTAAATCACAGCATGGCATCTGTTAAGATGCCTCCCTGGATAGTATAGCCGCAGTATGACAAGTCTACTTTTCCATTTTCTTCTCTGGGAAGATTTTCCAAGTCTCCAGCCATTCGAGGTTGAAGAAAGAGGAAAACGGGATGAGCTACAGGTACCAGAGTTCCAGGCCTGTGAGCAGACGGCACTTGCTCAGAGTACCGTCCCAGGTAAAGAGGGTCTAGGAGGGTGGGGTGTGTGTGTGTGTGTGTGCAGTATGTGTACATGTGCATCTACACATGTGTGCAGGCATGTGTATGTTTATATGTGGTATCTGCTGTGTGGCAGATTATATGTGTGTGGTGTGTATGTTGCATGTGTATAGTGTCATGTTGTGTGTGAAAGTGTGAATGTGTATGGTATGTGCATGCATGTTTCCTGGTGGGGGTTAGATTCAGGGATTGAATTCCCTGAAGTCCCTGCCAGCTGACTACTCCTGTGAGTTGTCAGCTAATTGCACTGGTTCCCTTTTGCTAGGATCTCTCTCAGATGAGCTCCAGCCCAAGACCCTCCTGGCCTTCCCCTGCAGGTTGAAGCAAGTGTGCCACAGCACTGCTGGCCATGTAGGAGTGTGTTTCTTCTCTGAGCACAGAAGGCCAGAGTCCTGGGCAAAGTCTTGTATCTAAAGAGCAGGATTGTGGAATGTCACAGCAAAAGGGACTCTGGAGAGTGTTTGTTTCACCTGCCCTCACAGGGTAGCCAGCATTTTCATTCTAAATCATGTTGGTAAAAGTGACCACATCCAGAGGCTAAGACTCAGATGTGGCCATCTTTAATGTCCTTGGGGTTCAGGTGTTCTTCCAGACACCAAACTTGAGTCTCTGGTTCTCTTTTTTTTTTCTATTTTTTTTATTTTCTTAATTCCAGTTAACATAATATTATATTAGTTTCCGGTTCTTACTTGAACTCACTGTGTCATGGATATTTTCCACAGCTGTGGGGACTGATTCATGCGCAGTCTCTTTTACCTGAGATGCCTTTTGGAGCAAGATTTTTCTGGTATTATTGTAATTCCACCTAGTTCTGTGCAGGGCTAACTGCCATCTTTGTTCACCCCATAACGTGTAGACAAAGGGATTTTATGTTTACAGCAGATCCAGAAAGAGAACAGCCTCTCCCCAAAAACTTTGAGCTCCCTCATCCCTGGTTTTCTCAGGTACCTGCTGAAGGCTCAGGGTGGTTATGCACAGCTGAGGCTGGCCTCTCCCCAGGTTAAGGGTGGCCATGCACGATTGAGGATGGCCTCTTCCCAGGCTGAGGCTGGCCAGCTCAGTGGAGCTAGATGAATGCTTGTTGCCACACATGCATTTTGGGCCTTCTCTGGCCCATAGTAGCCTCATGCTATACAGGGTGTGTGCTTGCATGTATTAAATCATGTAATCCTCAGTAATAACCCTACAAGGCAGCTCTGATTCCTACTCTGTTTTGCAGGAAAACATTTAAAGGAGAGAGAGAAAGTTACCCAAGGTGTCAGGGAAATTGAGCTCAATCAGGGTATTGGGGATATCGAAGCCTGTGGCCATGCTGTGCATGGCCTGGGACTGGATGATGGATGGTTTCCTGTGAGTTGCAGGGACTGAGGAGAGAAACAAGGAGGATAGGAAGCCAGATGTGAAAATACAAAAGACAGAGGCATTGTAAAAAATATATTCTTATAATGTTAGGATGGGGAAGCTTTCTTGCAAGATATAAAACCAGAAAGGAGATGAATAAATCTATTCCATTTAAAACTGTGAAAAACAAAAGTGCTGAAACAATACACATAAAGTTAAAAAAAAAAAAAAAAACGGGAGGAATTATGTGCAAATAAGAGGCAACAGATTCAGACCCATAATTTTTATTTCATAGAAGAGGCAGGCTATGGTTCAGCAATGTGGAGTTACGCGCAGGCATGGGGCCTGATGGCCCACATTCAGATCCTCAGTCTGACACCCATAGCCTGTGAGTGTGGACCCTGGGCCAGCGACTTCAGGTCAGGTGCTCAGCTGCAGAATGAAGATATCAGAGTATCTGTTACGGGGTTCAGTGTTTGTGTCCCCCCAAAATGTGTGTTGAAGCCCTATTCCTCACTGAGGAGGCATTAGGAGGTGGGGCTGGAAACACCTGTGTAATAACTAGCCACTCTATAGCGTGAGACTGCAAGGCCAGAGAGAGCCCGAAGTGAGTTGGACTAGTTCGGCATGTTTGTTTTTTCTCTGTGAATCTTGTAGTTGTTATTGTTTAGTACTGTTTCTGCTTTGGCCTTTTCCCCCTTCACAAGAGATAAGCTATTTTTGACCTAAGCACTAGGGTAAGTTCTTCATGTGATTTTATGCACTGTATCTGTACAGCACCTTCTAAGATGGGTACCATCTCAGCCAGCACAGCTAATATAGCAAAAATTATTGATAGGTCCGCTGAAACAACTAACTTATTTCTCAGTGTGGAGGTGGGGCAGTCCCCAGCAGAGTGTATGAATAGTGAAGGTTCTCTTCCTGGTTTATAGATGGCTGCCTTCCATACATGTGCTCACAGGCCTTTTCCCAGTGCATGCTGTGTTGGGAGGGAAGGAGGCGAGGGAGCTTATGTTATCATGCCTCATGCTCTTTCTTTTCCTAAAAGGGCACTCTTCCCCACACAGGGTCCCACCTTCAACACACAGCTAATCCTAATCACCTCCCAAAAGCCCCACCTCCTAATCCCACCTCAGTGGGGGACAGAGCTTCAATAAACACATTTTGGGGAGTCACAAACAATTAACTAGTAACTGAGAATCTGAATGTGGGCTGTCACGCCTCAGGCCCATGCTTGACTCCACATTGCCAAGCCATAGCTTGCCTTTTCTATGAAATCAAAATAATGGGTCTAAATCTGTTGCTTCTTTTTTTTTTCCATTTTTTGTTCAGGTAGAGTGGGAGGGAGAGAGAGGAACAGAGAGAGAGAAACATCGATGTGAAAGGGACACATCGAGTGGCTGTCACCCACACAACCAACAAGGGCCGGGGACAAACTGCAACCAAGGTACGTGCCCTTAGCGGGAACCGAACCCGGGTCTCTCGGGACTGCAGGCCGACGCTTTAACCACTGAGCAAAACGGGCCAGGGCATCTGTTGCCTCTTAATAGCACATAATTCCTCCCATTTTTTTGTTTTTTAAACTTTATGTGTATTGTTTCAGCACTTTTTTTTTTTTCAGTTTAAAAATGTAATGCATTTATTCATCTCCTTTTTGGTTTTATGTCTTGCAAGAAAGCTTCCCCATCCTATAAGAATGTATTTTTTATAATGCCTCTGTCTTTAGTCTTTTCACAACTGGCTTCCCATCCTCCTAGCTTCTCTCCTCAGTCCCTCCAGCTCACAGGGAACCATTCATTATCCAGTCCCAGGCCACTCACAGCATGGCTACAGGCTTTATTCCCAATCCCTTAATTGAGCCCAATTTCTCTGACACCTTGAGCAACTTTCTCTCCTTTAAATGTTTTCCTGCAAAACAGAGTAGGAGTCAGAGCTGTCTTATAGGATTATTGTTAAGGATTACATGATTTAATACATATACAAGCAGACCATAACTCTTCCTCATTTCTCTATTATCCTAAAAGCCAATTCAGCAGACCGCCCACCCCCAACACACACACACACACACACACACAACCCCACACACCTTCTTCTATACTCATCAGTACTGAGCTGGCAGTTTCCTGGCTTTACTCTTTCTCTGGTGTTTTGGGCATACCTCTGAATCCTACCTCATCTAGTAACAATCCTAACATTGTTGTGTGAATGGCCCACAGGAGCACTAATTGTTGTTTATGTCCCCTTTTTAGAAACTCTGCATCTACTTTTTGGTAACTTTAGCTGATTTAAGGGGATGTTGTCCATATGCACTGTATTAGTCTCCTAGGGAGGCTTAGACACCAAAAATTGATTTTCTCAAAATTCTGGAGGCTACAGGTCTGAAATCCAAGTGTCAGAAGGGGAGCGTCTCCTGCAGCCTCTCTTCTTGGCTTGTAGAAAACTGTCTTCTCCCTGGGTTTCTACATGTCTGTGTCCTAATCTCTTCTTACAAGGATGCCAGTTGGATTACAGTCCACCCTAATAATCTCATTTTAACTTAATTACCTCTTGAGAGAGCTTAACATCAAATATAGTCATACCCTGAAGTATTTGGAGTTACAACTTAAGCATAATAAGAATTTCTAGGGGATGTAATTCTGCCCTTAGCACTCCACCCTCTGATCCCCCAAGTTCATGTCCTCATATGCAAAATACATTCACCCTCTCCCCTTAGCACCCAATGTCATAACTTATTCCAACATCAACTCTAAGTGACCTCTACATTGCTTTCCTGCAGCCCGAGGTGACTCCCCACCCCCTAAGAACAGCCTGGATGAGGAGGTGACCATAGAGATCGTCTTGTCCAGCTCTGGGGAGGAAGACTCGCAGCTGGGCCCCTACTGCACAGATGAGACACGGAGCTCCTTGGGGAAGCAGCACGGCACCCCCACTGCCCAGCAGAATGGCGCTTCTGTGGGGGGTGATGTGCATACCTCCGGGAAGTCCTATATATGCCCCAATTGCGGGAAGGTCTTCCGCTGGAGGGTAAACTTCATCCGGCACCTGCGCAGCCGCAGGGAGCAGGAGAAGCTACACGAGTGCTCGGTATGTGGGGAGTTATTCAGTGACAGCGAGGACTTGGACGGGCACCTGGAAGCCCACGAAGCCCAGAAACCTTTCCGGTGTGGCGCCTGTGGGAAGAGCTTCCGCCTCAACTCGCACCTGCTTTGCCACAGACGAGTCCACCTACCACCCACCGGACCCCGGCCGGTGAAGGGAAGCGAGCAGGGGGCAGCGGGGTCCACGGGTGGGGGGCCTGATACACAGCTGCCTGAGGGCCGGGCCCGACTGAGCGTCCAGTGCTATGACTGCGGGAAGCTGTTCCAGCGGCCTGAACATCTGGCGAGGCACCGTAGCAGCGTGCACGGTAAGGACCGGGCACGGCCCTTTCGTTGCCGGTACTGTGTCAAAAGCTTCCTGCACAACTCTGACCTCCTGCGCCACCAGCGCCTGCATATGAAAAGGCGCTCCAAGCAGGCGCTCAACTCTTACTGACGCCAGACCCTCCCCAGGACATACCTTCCCCAGGACAGACCTCATCTTCCCACCTTTTGCTCTCAGGTAGAAATGAGATAGTGGCCAACTGAGCATTTCTTTTGTTTCTGCTGTGCCAAAAAGCAGGGAGGAAGTACTTAACCAGCTTGGACTTCCCCTGTGTTTCTTGTTCCAAAGAGACCCCTGTCCAGTGCTTCCCAAGTGGGCCAAGGATCTGGGCTGCCCCGACTGCAGTGACCTGTTGTGGTCTGTTACTTGCCCCTATCCTGAGATTCCAGGGTAACTGCACTTCCCATCTGAGAGCAAGGAGCTGTGGGTGGGGTAATGGCATTGGGAAAGGCATTGGGACAAGAGGTGCATGTAGGCATGGCCAGCCACACCAATCCTGCCATGTCACCAGGCGGACCTTTCAACATCAGAAGCCTTGAGGGCACTGTACAGCTGTTTGCGAAGGGGAACTGCACTATACTTTTATTTGTGATGGTGGCTGCTCATTAGAGATTTGGAGTTCACAAGAGCAATGCTCACATTTTAAATTGTATATTGCACAGCCTACTCAAATATCATTTCTTTGTACCATGAAAGTCCTGGTAAATGGTTGAGGGGTGGAAGTAGTTGTCATCATTCGAAAGGCACTTAAGTTCCCCTGCCCATTCCACTGTGTCCAGGAATGGGAAGCTCAGTTCCAGTGAGGGGTTCTGTGTGGGTAAGGGACAATGGAAACAACCGCCTGTGAGGTTGAGCTCTGCATACATATTAACTTAGCCTAGTTTTCATATTTGTTTGCTGGGGCTATCTTAACAAAGTACTGAAAACAGGGTGACTTAGAACAACAGAAATTTATTGCCTCAGTTCTGGAGGCAGGAAGTCCAAGGTCAAGTGGTTGGCTGGTTGGCTCCCTATGAGGGAGGGTCTGTTCCACACCTCTCCCCCAGCTTCTGGCAGTTGCTGGCAGTCGATGATGTTCCTTGTAGAAGCATCACCCCGTCCCTGCCTTCATCTTCACGTGGTGTCCCTGTGTACATGTATGTCTCCAAATTTTCCCTTTTTATAAGTGCGCCAGTCATTGGATCAGGGCCTCCATGCCTACTCTCATATATTCCTGTTTTAACTAGTAACATCCACAATGACCGTATTTCTAAGAAAGGCCACATTCTGATATACTGGGATTAGGACATAAATATGAATTTGGGGTGGTAGGGAGACAGTTCAATCCACAAATGCAGATAGTCTTGCAATTGTGTGGTTGGTTATCCCTGATTAACCGATGAGTCAACAGAAATTTGAGTTGGCTTGCTCCGTTCTACTAGAAGAGCATAGCCTTGAAAGTTTGTGGCCTAGAATTTTGGATTGGGAGTGACCATTGGCTGTGAAACCTCAAGCAATGAAAACCATGGTCTTACTGTTCCTAGAAGACAGGAGATGTAAGCTACCAGGCTCAGTGTCGAGAAAGCACAAGCACTGTGAAGTGGTGGTGGCTGAATCAAAGCCACCAGGTGGGCATTTTGTGCTATTTGCATGTCATGTCCATTGGCAGGCAACCAAGTTTCTTGTCACCTATATTATTGTCACATTGAAATTCCACTGCCACAAACCCAGTGCCTGTGTAGACATACCTACACGCCACGGAGCCATAAATGCAATAAAACCGTTGTCATACTTTGAACAAGAAATAAATACTGGGGCTCTTTGTTTCTAAATAGTTTGCCTCTAATTGATCAGCCAGGAAAGGGGGGAAAATGAATTTTTAAGGCCATGGAAAGAGGAAATTTTAACTAGAGGCCAGGCTATACATTTGCCCCACCCTCCTGCACTCTTATTCAGGACTTGTCAGCTGGAAGATTGTTTTCCACCTGCTTCAGACATTTGTCTAATAGAAGAACATTGCTCCATTTACTATTGTGTCTTACCTATAAAACCAGGTTCTAAATAAGAAAAACACAAAGAATTGGTAACTGCTTGAGTCCCCACCAAATACTGTGGGGAACACCCCATTCACTGACTCAACACACCTAGGTTCCTACCTAATTTGGAGGGTCACATCACTCGGGATTCAGGAGCCCTCCTGGGTGATGTAGCTCAAATCCCAGTCCATCCCATTCCGAAGAAGTCAGTGGGCTTACCTGCATTTGGGAAAACTCCAGATGGCAGGAGAACTGACTACTTCCTCCCTGTGGTATGGGCAGGCAAGTGAGCTACATCACCACTTTGCCATTGAAGTACAGGCCCCACATCTGAGAAGCATCTGTTCTTTGTATCCCTTGGCATTGTTCCCACAAACTCATAAGTACATAATAATAATAACTGCTGAGTTAATATTCATGTTAGACTTTACATTTTAGCTTAAAAAGTAACATGCACCACAGCTGACAGAGATAGTCAGTTTCCCTGACAAAGAGCTTGAGGTGTGAGAATGCTAAAAATAGTTTTCTAGGCATCAGACATCTGCCTTGTGGTACATTTAAGCCTCAGATGGATGGTCTGGTCATCTGTTCTGACCCCTGTCCAGAGGAGAGAGAAAGGCACTACAACTAGGGGTAGTTTGCACTCCTGGTTGCACTACAGCAGGATAACCCAACTTCAGCCATTTTCCTATATCCTGTCTCCCAACCTCTTCCAGCTGAGTGATGTGGTGGGAAGGTCCCTTGCCATTTCTAAGTCACACCATGGCACAAATGAAAGAGAAGGCATGAGTCCAAACCTGCCTTGGAGAACAGTCCATGTCACTTTTCTCCCACAAGACAGTTTTCCGTTTTTGCCAAAAGCAGAGTTCAGACCTGGCACAAGCATGTCTGCTTGCAGTATAATGTAGGGAAATTGATACATACATTACTATGTCTTGTCAAAATATGGAGGGGCTGGCACCTTCCATGAAAATGTATGTCAGAAAAGGCACAGCTAAGAGGGTTTAGTTTATTCCATCCAAAGTAAGCTGGAGCCCCTTTGAACATGTCTGTGTGCTCTGAGAAGAGACAGGGCCTGCCTCCAGCCCACTGAAGGTAAATTCAGAGTGAGATTTCTGGATATTTTTAAGTGTTTTCCCAGAAGATCAAGTGAGAAAGAATAAAAACTCATGTGGAAATTATACCAGCACTTTGTATCTTCAGCAAACATTGACCCATCCAGTTGGGAGGGGGTGGTGGTGCTGAAAATAGGTAGACCATATTTAGTTTGGTCTCCCTTTTGATCATTCATATTTTTCTAAAATGGCTTGGCTAATGTTGGGATGATACTCTGTGGCCATGATCTAAAGGCTTCACTAGCAACTTCTTTTAGCCATCTGTACTCAAAGGGCCAAAAGTCTGACCAGATGTGCACTCACCAGATTTGCACAAGCAGAACCAGGTTCTCCAGCAAAGACAGCCACCAAGATGGGACCACCAGGAGCCCCAGCATTCTTAGGCTGTCTGTGGTCCCTGTGGGAATTTTCATGTAGCTGCTGGTGGTGACAACAGAGACCTCTGGCTTGCGCAGTCTCTGTCATGGAAAGTGTTAGGCAGGTGGCAGGTAGGTAGTCTTGGGGCCCAGAGAAGATGAACACAAACCCATATTGTCAGGAAGAGATACTTGGTGCATCTCTCAACACTTTCTCTACTACTAATCACCAAGGACAGAGACCTCATTATGTTCTGCTTACAGAGTCTGAAACAAAATGGGACATTGTTATGTGATGTATAAGGTACACCTCATCATGTCTGCCTTTCTGAGAAACAGTACTGCTGGAGCAGGGCCTTAGAAGCCAACTTGACTAGGTGCCAAGCAAAGCCTGCACTATCCTAATGCCAGTACTCTGACACCAACTGCATGTCCAACAATTCAGTTCCTTCCTGACACTAATGACCCAGGGTGAACATTTGATCCCACAGGTTAAGGATGAAGGCCTAACAAAATGCCCCACTTCAGATGCCAGTTATGAGTCTCAGAGGCCACTCAGACTAATACTGAGATGAATACAAATGGGAGTTCCAAAGACCTCTTATGTTTGATTATTCACTACAATGACTTCCAGTAACTCACTGAAAGTGTTATCCTTATGGTTAGTTTTTATTATAAAGAAAATAACTGGCCCTGGCCAGTTTGGCTCAGCGGTTAGAGCGTCGGCCTGCGGTCCGGAGAGACCCGGGATCGGTTCCCGCTAAGGGCACGTACTTTGGTTGCAGTTTGTCCCCGGCCCTGGTTGGTCGTGCGGGTGACAGCCACTCGATGTGTCCCTTCACGTCGATGTTTCTCTCTCCCTCTCCCTTCCTCTCTCTCCCTCCCACTCTATCTGTACAAAAAATGGAAAAATATCCTCGGGTGAGGATAAAAAAAAAAAAAAAAGAAAATAACTGAGCCCAGCCGGTGTGGCTCAGTGGTTGAGCATTGACCTATACACCAAGAGGTCACCAGTTCGATTCCCAGTGAGGGCACATGCCCAGGTTGTGGGCTTGATCCCCAGTAGGGGGCATGCAGAAGGTAGCCGATGGTTCTCACATTGATGTTTCTATCTTTCCTTCCTCTAAAAATCAGTAAAAATATATTTTAAAAAAATACAATTGAGGAACAGCAAAAAGGAAGGGATTCACTGGGTGAGATCAGGGAAGGATGTTTCAAGGGCAGAGGTTTCATGCCCTCCCTAAATGGAGTAGGGTGCAGTCTGCTCTCAGTGCATCACCCTGGGCTGAGCTAAGCTGCCATGGATCTTAGTATGTTTCACCCTACCTCCAGTCTCCAGCTCTCTCAGTTCTACTCTCCTCCCCAGAGGATGGCCTAGCACAGAGTCCCAACCCTCTAATTGAGCACTTAGTCTTTTTGGTGATCAGCCTCCCCATCTTACTCCCCTTAGCATAACAAAGACATTCACTTCTAATGCTCAGGAAATTTCAAGGTTTCTTAATATTCTGTTCCAGGAACCAGAGACAAAGACCAGAGATATGTATATTAGAGAGAGAGAGAGAAACATTGATGTGAGAAACATCTTAAGAAAGTACTGCATTCAGGCTTTTATGTCAAGGGAAGGGGAAATGGGAGGGACAGCTTTGGTAAAACTCAAGTTGCCTCCCTCATGCAACCCAACTAGAGATTGAACCCACAACCTAGGCATGTGCCATGACTGGGAATGAACCCACCACTTTTCACGGGATGATACTCCAACTGAGCCACACTGGCCAGGGTGACCAGATATGTTCTTTAGTATGCCACCCTGACTCAGGGATGTCCTTACCTGGGCCTCCTTCAGAGAGGACTCCTCAGGGTAACTTCCCTATTCTGCTCCCCAGGTCTGGGCTGTGGCCATCTGTCTCACCACCCGTTGCCCTTCTTTGCTGGCAGCAGCCAACCAGGGCTTGTTAACCTAAGAATGCCAGCTTGCTGGTTTCACAGAAATGCTGCTGTGTTTAAAGCAAGTGGAGCTAAAAGCCCATTAGAACTACACATACTCTGAAATGCAAGTTTCCCAGAATACCTGGTCTTAGTACCTTGCACAAGCTGCAATTTGGAATAGCAATTAGAAACTAGGAAACCAAAGGGCATTTGTTAGAATTTTATTTAAAGATTGTGGACACCTCCTAAGGACATGTGGCTTCATATCCTGGGTGCTCTGTGTATGCACACAGTGGTGAGCAGTGTGGAGGGACCCACTGGTCAGCTTTGTGACTCCAGTGTCCAGACTATCTAAAGAATCCAGTCCAACACAGAAGGAATATGTACAGGTGTGTTACCTATCAAAAGCCCATGAGCTTGATACTTCAAAAGGCAAAACAAAATGTCAGAGTTTAGAGTAGGGAAAGATTGATTAAGAAAATGGTAGCCCTAGTAGTTCCTCAAATTTATTTTAAGAAAATACCGAGTTCAGGCTTCTTTTATGTCAAGGGGAGGGGAGATGGAAGGCACTGCTTTGGTAAAACTCAAGCTGCAAGCAGTATTCCTCTAATGATTAGCATGTCTATATGCAAAACAAAGCAAGCTTGAACAAGCTGGAGTTAAAGAGACCAAGCATTTCACTGCTACAGATGCATGTTCTCAGGCATCGAACTTCATATCCTAAGTATTTGTAATCATCCCCTACCAACCCATGCTTGGAGACATGCTTCTTCACATTCAGGGAGTTTGCATGGTGTGGTCAAGTGTTATAGGTGATGGGACTGGATGTCAAGTGATTTTAGAGACATTGCACCCAGTTTTCTCTTTTTACTACAGGGAGTGTCCATCTCTTCTACTTGTCTTAGGAGAGTAGGAGACTCAATCTAAAGTGAATGGAAGGTTGAGGAGTGGTGTTATAAACACTAGGCAACAGTCACTGAACTGCTGCTGCTGTAGACGAACACTTCTTGGGGCTATAGGAAGCAGCAATGCTGCAGTATCCATCCATGATTAACTTCCTTGGTTTGTAGTAAACTTGTATTTCAATCGTGAAAAGTGGAGCTGGAAGTAGACACTTGGTCTTCAACGTCATCCCATCATGTTTCCTTCAGTCCACAGCTGTGGGAACACCTACAGTTTGGTTTTAGAAATGTGATCCCTTTAAGACTTTTCTTGGATGGTTTATCTTTGCAAATTCTTTATTGTCTAAAAAAAAGATATATATTGAGCACATCAATTTACTTGGCTGCATTCACCAAGAATTTAATATGACAGGTACACTTTTCCACAAGGCCCACTTTTTGTTGTGCTTGGCATGGAATCTTTCTGATACCACAT